GAGGCCCAGCACAGCGCACTGGCTGGGCGCGCCCAGATTTGCAACGCCAGAATACGCGTTATGGAGCGCAGCAGCAAGCCCAGACGGAGGTGTGCCAGCGCCTGCCTGCGCGCGGCGTTTTGCAGTGCCTGAAGCCCTGCGCGAAGCACGCTCAATACCAGCGGTGAAAGCCAGGCCACAGCGAAGGCAGGAACGGCGAGGAGCACGGGCACTGAAGCGCAGTGGGACTGTGCAGAATGCGGGCGCCCCTGGTGCCTGAGGCCCCCAGGGAGTGCGAACGCGTGGTGCCTGAGGCTCCCACGGCACGCACTGCGCTTGCCGCCGAGACCGCCCCTGGTGCCTGAGGCCCCCAGGGAGTGCGAACGCGTGGTGCCTGAGGCTCCCACGGCACGCACTGCGCTTGCCGCCGAGACCGCCCCTGGTGCCTGAGGCCCCCAGGGAGTGCGAACGCGTGGTGCCTGAGGCCCCCCCGCTGCGCGATTTGAGGGCTAAAAAAATCACGACGGGAGGTTTTTCATTATTTTTGGACTCTGGGGGCCCTTACCGGCCTTCGGGACCGTCACAAAACGACTCAGGACGAAAAACCGGTCCTGGGGAATGGGTCCAGACCTCTGGGGGTCGACGTCATGAAAAAATCATGACGTCGGGGGTCTGGGATAAGAGGATGGCTTTCGCTGAGGAGGTCGACCGGGAACCGCGGAAGCCCGGGAACCCAGAACCCACCGAACTCGGCCTGGAACCAATAACCGGGAACCCGGGAACCCGGGACCGCGAACCCGGGAACCCAGCCTGCCACCAGAATCGGCGGGAAACTTCCGCCAAATCTCTCAACCTCCACTAGGACCCCTTCAGTGCAAGCACTGATTGGGGAATAAACACAAACGTAAACTTTGGGCGCTCCGCGCGGATCTCTTGGCTCTGCGCCGGACCCCCCTCCCTGGCGCGCGGAGCGCGCCGGGGGCGGCGCCGGAGGAGGAGGAGGAGGAGGAGGAGGAGGAGGAGGAGGACGAGGAGGAGAAGAAGAACAAAACAAAAACACAGACTTTTGGCGTTCCGCGCGGAATCTGTGCCGCGCCCCCCTGGCGGCGCCCCCGGCGACGCCTGATTGCGCGCTCCGCGCGCCAGGGCGGAGGAAGCTCGCCGTGGCCAGGGAAACCCCCTCTCGAAAGAGAAAAAACGGCACAAACATAGGAAAACATGGGAAGTGGGGGGAAGACAAAAACCCAGAAAATATTGGAAAATATGGGAAAGACTGTTAGTGTCTATTTACTTGCGTGTCCCAGGGCCCCTTCGAACACGCCATAAACATAAACTTTGGGCGCTTTGCGCGGATCTCTTGGCTCTGCGCCGGACCCCCCTCCCTGGCGCGCGGAGCGCGCCGGGGGCGGCGCCGGAGGCGCCGCCAGGGGGTCTGGCGCAGATCCAAGAAATCCGCGTGGAGCGCCAAACATTCATATGTTTATGGCGTTTTTTTCTTCGATCAGCGCGCAGGCTCAGGGATAGACGAGCCACACGCACAGGCGTCCCCAATGGAGCGGCCTCCCGCACCTGGGGCACACTCCCCACACGAACCTACCCGTACCTGGAGCGGCCTCCCGTACCTCGAGCGGCCTCCCGTACGTGGGCGCGGGAGGCGCCGCCAGGGGGGCCGGCGCAGATTCAAGAAATCCGTTTGGGCGTGTTCTCTTCTCCAAGATGGGGTCTTACTGGCCACGGCAAGCCTCCCTCGGCCACGGATGGGCTTCCCGACCCGGGCCCCGAAGAGAGGCCTCCTCCTCCTCCTCCTCCTCCTCCTCCTCCTCCTCCTCCTCCTCCTCCTCCTCCTCCTCCTCCTCGCCCAGAGAACCAGAGCGCAGTCTGAGCACAGAGCTGATAGCCCTCGCTTCCGCGTCTTGGCCGCGCGGCGCGTGGGGTCGGGGTGGGTCTGCTTCCCTCGATGTCGGGGCCCCCCCCTCGCATCGGGCGCACGCCGGCGTGGCCTCCGCACCCGCGGAGCTGGCGCGCGCGGGCGCCAGCTCCACGGGTCGGGGACGGCTCCCCCGAAGCACGAGGCTGGTGACGCCTCCTCTGGCGGCGCAGCGCGTTGATGCTGCACAGGAGCGGGGCCCGCCGCAAGTCCACGCACCAAATGATGGGCCCATCTGCCACAACCACTACCATAGGTAGGAGAGCGAGGAGGAGGAGGAGGAGGACGAGGAGGAGGAGGAGGAGGAGAAGGAGGAGGAAGAGATCATTTTTTTATACCGGCCGGTAACGCTCGTTACCCGGGGGGGGGGGGGGGTCGTGCCCCCCGGGTAACGGTAACGCTTGGGCTGGGCGGGGTATGGCGAAGCAGGGGCGCTCTGCGATCGCCATAGTATGCGCGCGAGCAGCACTCTCTGCCTGAGAGCACCACAGTGGCTTGCGATTCGAGTACAAGCGCAAAGCCCGCCGCGTGGTCCCGGCACCACGCCCGCGCCCGCGCGCGCGACGACGATGATCGACGAGCGACGAGCGACGAGGTCGACGACGACGACGACGACGTTTGCCGCCTGTTTCGGCCTCCGGAGGCCGTTTTCGGGCGCCGTCGACGACGACGACGACGACGACGACGACGACGACGACGACGACGACGACGACGACGACGACGATTCGAGTACAAGCGCAAAGCCCGCAAGCACCAGCATCGCGCATGCGAGCGCCGCAATGGCCTGCGAGCGCCCACAGTGCGCCTGCGACCACCACACCACAGTGCGCATGCCTTCGGGCACCAGCATGTTGGAGGGGAAGACCGAGACCCCCCCCGCGTACGAGCGTTACCGTTACGGGGGGGGGGGGGGGGGGGGGGGGGGGAGAGGCCCGATGAAGAGAAGGAGGAGGAGGAGGAGGAGGTAGATGAGAACCTCCCCATCCTCCCTTCTCCCCCGTCCTACCGATGGTAGCGGTGGTAGACAACTTGCCCGGTACCTGAATCCATGCTTGCGCTTTCTCAGCTCTGAGGGCCAGGGCCACGAGCTGAGGATGCTGATGTCGGCACTCCCCCCCCGTCGGGCCTCCAGCGGAGACCGCCGGCCCCCGGAAAGAGAACGCTGGAGCTCGTCCTTCGCGTGCTCCCTGCGCCCCGTGGGCCTCCTCGTCGCCACGGCCGGGTCCTGGTCGGGATTCCCGTCCGAGCGCGCCTGGAGGGAGATTGGGAAAAGGCCCCAAAGAAGGCCTCCAAGAGGCTCCCAAGAGGCCCCCAAACTGCCCCGCAGAGGCCCCCGAGAGCCTTGCGGACAGACCCCAGGAAGCACCCATGAGGACGCTGGCACGAAACCCAGGCACGGTAGCGGGATGGGCCGAAGACCATGTGTTAGCTGGCAAGCGCGCCGTGCCACGACTTCCGATGCTGCGCGCCACTTCGACTAACTTCCAGGGAGCGGCCAGTGATGCGCCGCCGGCGTCCTCGATTGGGGTGGGCAAGGGCCTCCACCCCTGATTACAAGAGAGAGCCGGGGTCACTGCCGATCTCGAGACGATTTGCCCCCTAATGAGGGGGCCTATGGCTGTGGATGTCAACGAAACCGAGGGAGACTCGGGGGGCATTTTTTGGCGTGAGTGAGACCGGTCATGAAGGAAATGGGCCCTCTTCCCAAGACCCGCTGTTTCTTTCAACACCAAGGAGGAGGAGAAGGAAGAATCCGCTGCCCCTCAGCAGGGCGATCCAAAAGGCACACCCAAGCGAACTCGATGACATGACAGTGAAAACAAAAACTTGGAAAAAGCTCCAGTCTAGAGGGAAGAGCGGGCACGAGACCGAAAGGCGACTGATATAAAATTGCCCCCCAAAACGTATCGGGTCTCTGTTGCGAGCGTTGTTCAGTGACCCCGTACCGCATGGCCTAAACGGGCACAGCCGAAAATCCAATGGATGCCATTGAACCCGTTGTTAGCAATCGATGCAATTCACGTGCGTGCCACAGAAAATTTGACCGTGTTCGACATTGCTGCTTCGATGGGTGGTGGCATCGCTCAGGCATTCTTGCCGCCGCCCGGTGGTATGCCCGCTCCGGCTTGCATCACGCGGAAGGGGTCCGCACGGTCTCACGCCGTCCCAGGCTGCGTGATATAGAACGCTGGGAATTGGAATGGCACCACGTCCCTGCATGCAGGGCCCACCCGTATCCTCCTGTCACGCGACCTCCGCTTGCGACGAACGTGTGCACGGATGGCTTGCCCGGGCCTTGGCAAGCGGCCGCCTACGGCGCACCCTCTCTGCGGAGAGGCGCTGAGCGACGATTGGCCCAGTGTCCAGCCGTTGCTGCAGGGGTCGCAATTTTTCGGAGACAGACGCAGCTGGCTTGGCCACCTTTGCCATCGTCGTCGTCGTCGTCAACCCCCAGCGGGCCGCCCGTCCCGCTTTCGCGTCTTCAGCACACGACCGAGCCGCCCGCGAAATGGCAGGAGCCCGCCAAACGACCCGCGGTCAGCCGCCGCCCCCCCCCACACACAGCACAACCCGCGCCCGATCGGTCCGCGACCCGCGCGCGTTGCCCCTGCATGCAAGGGGGCCCGGGAGAGGGGCAGCGTGCTTGCTCAGAGTGCTGGTCTCGAGGGCTGGCGCCACAAAGTGCATTGCAGGCGTCCGGCTGCCGCCGAAGGTCAGGAGAGCTCTGCGTCCCTGGGTCGAGCTTGAGGGGCCCTTTGCCGCTGCGGTCTCACTGCAAAGGAGGGCGGGGGGGGGGAACGCAAGGGGCAGGGGGAGGGGGGGGGGCATGATATTTGCTCCGTCTGGTTGCCTCCAGCAATCCCCGCGGACTTTTGGTCGCAGCGGCGCGGATCCACGCCGCGCTCGAAGGCAGCCGAGAGCCGCTACGGGGCTGCTTGGGCACAACAGCAGAAGGACAGACGCGGGAGAGCGGGGTACAAGCCAGTCCTCGCGGAAAAGAAAACACGACATCGCCAGCGTCGTCAGCGTCGTCGTCAAGGCCAGAGCGGCGGCGACGAAGGTGGCGGCGACGACGGCCGCGGAGCGGCGGGGCCGTGCGCCGCCGGCGCGCCCCCGGCAGACCCAGGTCGGCCACCTGTGCGAGCAGGCGCCGCCTCTTGGAGGGGAGGGGGTTCATCCTGCTGTTGCTCCTGCTGGTGTTCCTCCTCCTCTTTTTTCTTCTCCTGCTCCTCCTCCTTCTTCTCCTCCTCCTCCTCCTCCTCCTCCTCCTCCTCCTCCGCCTGCTCCTCCTCCTCCTCCTTCTCCTCCCCCTCCTCCTCCTCCTCCTCATCATCATCATCATCACCCATTCCTTGTCCTTATAACTTCTCCCTGTCGCACCCTGAGGCCAATTTTTAGGGCGGTCCGGGAGTTTCGCCAGAGACTTCCTCACCATTTATGATCCTGAAGCTGAGAATTTGACAACAGCTTCACAGATGGAGGGCGGGTGATTTTTAACATGTGGCTCTCGCCTTAGCGCCGCGCACACTCGTGTTAAACATTTGAAAGAGACTCACGGATTGATGGCGGGTGGCTTTCAAAATGTCGTTATCGCCTTAGCGCCGCGCACATTCGTTTTCAAACAAAATTGAACTCGTTTCGCGGAATGAAGGCGGGCCGTTTTCAAAATGTGGCTCTCGCATTAGTGCTGGGCACATTCGTCTTCAAAAATTGGAAGAGCTTCACGGGTTGAGGGCGGGTCGTTTTCAAAATGTCGCTCTCGCCTTTGGCGCCGCGCACATTCGTTTTGAATATTTGCCAGAGCTTCACGAATTGAGGTCGGGACGTTTCGACATGTGACTCCCGTCTCAGCGCCGCGCACATTCTTTTTCAACATGTGCAAGGGTTTCACGGATTTCCATGATCAGCGTACCAGAAATGGCGTTGAGGGAAGATTCATGATTATGAGGGTGCAATTACGTTGGTTGGCGGCGTTGAAGACCCAAGAATGGCGTTCTGGTGCGATTCTAGATCGCCAAGACGCAACAATCCAGTTGATCCGTGGCCTTGGAATCCCGAAAACGATGCGTTGGCCTGCGTCAGGGTCTTCGAACGGTTGTCTTCCAACGAGGCAGCTCCCCCAGTGGAAGTGAACCCTTGCAGGGGCCTATGAGAGGGAGCTTGGAAAGAGGGTTTATTCAAACATCGATGATGACTCTTTGGTTTGCACTGGTCCTCCTCCTCCTCCTCCTCCTCCTCCTCCTCCCCCTCCTCCTCCCCGTCCTACTACTACTACTACTACTACTACTACTACTACTACTACTACTACTACTACTACTACTACTACTACTACTACTACTACTACTACTACTACTACTACTACTACTACTACTACTACTACTACTACTACTACTACTACTACATCCTCCTCCTCATGCTCCTCCTCGTCCTCCTCCTCGTCCTCCTCCTCTTCCTCCTCCTCTTCTTCCTCCTCCTCCTCTTCCTCCTCCTCTTCCTCCTCTTCCATGTTGCGTTGGCCCGACCTTATGTGTGCACATATTGCGCTCTTGCAGTGGAAGAAAAGACGACCCGGGTCAAACAATGCACCTGGCGGGTTCCGCGGAAAATGAAAGAGTACGAGCGCAGGACGAGAATATTAGTCAGCGTAGGCGCCCGCCTGGTGGGACGACACTCACATGAGATGGAAAGCAACAGCAGTAGCAATAATGAACAATAGCGAACACAACCTTAAGATCGATAGTGAGTGTCGTCGCGGCAGGCCAAACACAGCAGGACGGCACGGACCTTAGCAAGTATACTAAGTATGGGTGCACTGGGTGGCGATGCCTTTGTAGGACGAAACCTGCGCACAGAGTAACACCCGCCTCCCTCAGAATGCCTGGCTAGTACGAGCGCTGCTCGTGCTAAAAGCAATGGAGGTGAGGGTGAAGGAAACAACTGCGGTTCGGGGTCAGACAATGTGGAGACGCAACTGTGCACGGAGTGTGTTGCGGTTGTGTTTGTAAGGTTTCCCTTCCTCCTCCTCCTCCTCCTCCTCCTCCTCCTTCTCCTCCTCGTCCTCCTCCTCCTCCTCCTCCTCCTCCATTCCTGTTCCTTATGAATAACTTCCCCCTGTCGCACCCCGAGGCCAGTTTTTAGGGCGGGTTGGGCCCCACGCCTGAGACCTCGTCATCACTTATGACTCTGAAGCCAAAAAACCGGCTACAGATTCACAAATGGAGGGCGGGTCGTTTTCAAAATGTGGCTCTCGCCTTAGCACGGCGCACATTCATTTTCGACAACTGCAAGAGCTTCACGGATTTAGGGCGGTTCCTTTTCAATGTATGGCTCGCGCCTTGGCGCCGCGCACATTCATGTACTAAGTTTGCAAGAATTTCAAGGGTCCCATCAGCAACGTACCAAAAGCATGGCGTTTTGAAAAGATTCAGGATCACGCAGGAGCAACCGTTACGTTCATTCGTTGTGTTGAAGTACCACGAATGACATTCTGGCACGATTCAGGATCGTCAACACGGACAAGTCAGGTTGATCCGTGGCGTTGGAATCCCGACAACAATGTTTTGGCATGCTTCAGGGTCTTCAAACGGTTGTCTTCCAACGAGGCAGTTCCCTCAATGGAAATGAACCGTTGTAGGAGCCTGTGAGAGGGAGCTAGGAGGGAGGGCTGATTCCAACATCGTTGATGACTCTTGGGCTTACACTGGTCCTCCTCCTCCTCTCCCTCTTCCTTCTCCTCAACCTCATCATCATCATCATCATCATCATAATCATCATCATCAGCAGCATCAGCATCAGCATCAGCATCAGCATCAGCATCAGCATCATCATCACCTTCACCATCATCAATATCAACGTCATCGTCATAATCAGCATCAGCATCATCATCATTAGCATCATCATCAGCATCATGCTAATCATCATTATCAGCATCATCATCGTCATCATCACCACCACCATCATCATCATGATCATCATCATGATCATCATCAGCATCATCACCATCATCATCATCATTATCAGCAGCAGCATCATCATCAGCAGCAGCATACTGCGTCGCGGCCCCGAGGGTCCCGAGTCCGAGGGGCCCCATGGGGCAAGCGGTCGGCGCCTGCGCGCCGGGGCGCTCACCCACCTCCTGCTCGCCTTGCATCGGCGGAGGCGCCGACGCCTCCTCCTTCTCCTCCTCCTGCTCCTCCTCCTCTTCCTCCTCCTCCTGCTCCTGCTCCTCCTCCTCCTCCTCCTCCTCCTCCTCCTCCTGCTCCTCCTCGGCCTCGACTGGCTCCTCCGCATCCTCCTTGTCCTCCTCTTCTTCCAATCCTCCTCCACCTCCTCATCCTCCTCCTTCTCTTCCTCTTCCTTTTCCTCCTTATCCTCCTCCTCCTCCTCCTCCTCATCATCAGCATCAGCATCAGCATCAGCATCAGCATCAGCATCATCACCATCCTCATCATCGCATCATCATCATCATCATCATCACAACCATCAGCATCAGCATCAGCATCAGCATCAGCATCAGCATCATCATCATCATCAGCAGCATCATCAGCAGCATCATCAGCAGCATCATCATCAGCATCACCATCATCAGCATCATCATCAGCAGCAGCATCAGCATCATCATCAGCAGCATCATCAGCAGCATCATCATCATCCTGGGTTGCGGCCCCGGGGGTCCCGAGTCCGAGGGGGCCCATAGGGTAAGCGGTCGGTGCCTGCGCGCCGGGGCGCTCACCCACCTCCTGCTCGCCTTGCAACGGCGGAGGCGCCTCCTCCTGCTCCTCCTCCTCCTCCTCCTCCTCATCATCATCATCATCATCATCACCACCACCACCACCACCACCACCATCATCATCATCATCATCATCAGCATCATCATCATCAGCATCATCATCATCATCCCCCTGCTCCTCCTGGGCCTCGATTGGCTCCTCCTCGCACTCCGCACCCACCTCCTCCTCCTCCTCTTGCTCCTTGCCTCCTCCTCCTCCTCCTCCTTATCCTCCTCCTCCTCTTCCTCCTCCTCCTCCTGCTCCTCGGCCTCGATTGGCTCTTCCTTGCACTCCGGATCCACCTCCTCCTCCTCCTTTTCCTCCTCCTCCTCCTCCTCCTCCTCATCCTCATCCTCCTCCTTCTCCTCCTCCTCTTCCTCCTGCTCCTCCTCCGCCTCCTCCGCCTCCTCCTTCTCCTTCTTTCCATATTCCTTATTGGTATATACTCCCGCTCTGCCCTCTCCCCGGCCGATTGGGGGGCCAATCCGGGGGGCCCCATCCTAACCTGCAAAAACCAATACAGCATCCACGCTGTCCCTTCCAACATGGACGTCCTGTGGTCCACGTCGCGAAATGCGTGGCAGGAATGGAACGCGGCGCACACCCCGCGCGAAAGGGCGAAATGTCGCACTCGCCTCGGCGCCGCGCACATTTTTTCTGAAAGTGGCGTTCCCGCCAAAGCGCGGCACACATGTTTCGCTCGCCAATTCGTCGGGCGCCTGGGGCAGGCCTCCTGGGGCTTCTTGGGGTTTCCTGAAGCGTTCTGGGGCTTCCTCGTGCCTCCTGGCACGAACTGGGGCTTCTTGGGGCATACTGAAGCCTCCCGAAGCCTATTAAAGTTTCCTGGTGCCTCCTGGGGTTTCTCTGGGCCTCCTGAAACCTCCTGGGGCATCCGACTTACGCAGGACGAAACATTTTCCTCTTGAGGTGCAAATGGCGATGATGAGTTGGAAGCTCATGACCGAACCCCCCTCCCCCTTAGAATCTTAACACGGGCGGGTTCCGGGGCCCACGGATCCGATTTCTTCCAGTTCCCCGCTTTTATGTAATAAGATAGATAGTATAACCTTAGAACGGTGTAAAAATCGGATCCGCCGTACGGAAATCGGATCCACCGAAGCAAACGCCAAAGCCACCATTGGATCCACGCGAACTTCACGTGATCCGACGGCGAGTATCTCACGCGCGTCTGCTCAAGACTTCAAGCGGTCGTTCTGGGCCCAAGAGAAAAAACTTTCGTCCTGGGGATGCAGGGCCTCCTGTAGCCTCGTGTGGCCCGCCACTCCGAGGGTCCCATCCTACCCTGCAAAACAAATATGCAAAC